CGGGCGCATGTGCGTGCGTGCCCAAGATCCTGAGAGGAGAATGGAGGAGAAGGGATTGTGGCGTGACCATCCCCCCTGGGGGGTGATTTCTCGCTTTCTGTCTCTATGTCTCTCTCTGTCTGTCTGGCAAGTGCACGCGCCCTATAGTGAAAATCTCTCAAAAAAAAAAAAATCAGACAAAGTGAATCTGTGATGTTGAAGTCTGGGCAAGTTTACCTTCTGTGTGTGGAGGGGTGATAATAGTGACTAACAGGGGGACACAGAGCAACACTTAAAAAAAAAAAGAACCTTTGCCATAGAGCACATGTACTTGCTAGAGACACACAGAGAGAGGGAAAGTGAGAAAGCAGCCCCCATGGGGGAAGGCAGCACCTCAATCCCTTCTCCTCTATACTCCTCTCGGGATTTTGCCCATACATGCACATGCACCCAGTGTGGTTTTGTTTTTGTTTTTTTTCAAAGAGAGATTTTTTGCTACAGGGCATGTGCACTTACCAGAGAGACAGAAAGAAAGAAATCACCGCCTCCCCGCCCCCAGGTGAGATGTCCATGCTGCTAATCCCTTCTCCATTCTTCTCTTGGGATTTGGGGCATACATAAACACACATTCCCTGTGTGAATTTTAAACTGCCAGGTCTGCGACTCGAACCGTAGTCGACTATGTGGGGGTCCATCGACGTAAGCATTATGCCATCTGTTGGTTCTGCGCCTAGTGTGTTTTTCAAGCTACCAAGTTTGGGACTCGAACCACACAATTGGCCATGTGGGGTCCTACTGTCTTAAACACCTTGCCACACAGCTTGCCCCATGAGAGCAATTCTGGTGGTGATATTCTATTCCTTGATCTGGGTACTGATTACATAGGAGCACTGATTTTTTTTTTTAATTCATTGAGCTATAAATAAACTTACATAGTTTTCTGCGTGCATGTTATACTTAAAATTGTATTAAAGGTGCAGTCATCATGGCACAAGTGGTAGAGTGTCTCTGCACAAGGCCAGGGCCGCTTGGGAGGTCAAGGTTCAGTTCTGGCACCAACCTAAACAGGCCACATGTGGTAGTGTGCATCTGTAATCCCAGCCAACTAGGAGACTTGGATAGAGGGCTGCAATGTAGTAAGACTCTTTCTCTTTCTTTCTTTCTTTTTTTTTTATTTGCTAGAGGGTGCATACACTAACTAGAGAGAGATAGACAGAGAAAGAGAAAGTGAGAAAGTTCCTCCCATGGGGATGGCCACACCATTCTCCTCCATTTCTGTTTTCAGTATGTTGAGCATATACACACGTGTCGGATGTGTGTGTGTTTCTCAAGCTGCCAAGTCTGGGACTCAAAACCATATAGTCAGACATCACATGTGGGATCCAGCTGTCTTAACTACTGTGCTACCAGGTGGCCCAACACCCTTTCAAAAACACCCATCTCTCTCCCTCCTCCTTTCATACTCTCTCTCTCATATTAAAAATAGAAAAAGAAAGAAAGAAATTTACTGAAATTAGCAACACATGTTTCTTGTAGGAAGTCTAGCAAATAGGAAATATATAGTATTAAAGAATAGTTTTCAGGATCACAGCAGTCGCTAGACTCCCACATGGTCCACTGCAGTTCTGAGTCCTGGACCCAGTGGTTTCAAACTCACACCAGGTATGTGTACATATATGCCTAAAATCCCAAGAGGAGACTGGAGGAGAAGGGATTGCAGTGTGGCCATCTCTCCAGGGGAGTGATTTCTCACTTTCTGCCTGTCTATCTCTCCTGCTAGTGCATGTGCCCTATAACAAACAAACAAACAAACAAACAAAAGAATTGTTTTCAAAATTATGACTAAATAATGATAAAAAATGAACACATATCAAAGATTGTGTTTATCTCATTAGTTAATGAGAGAATCACCAAGATATTATAGCAGTTCACATGGATTTGATTTACAGAGATTTATATTAGCTACCAGACTAAATTTGTTTGCCTTGACATGAACAAGAATCATTTATATAGCTATAGACATGAAACATTTACATTAGCATCAACCTGCATGTTAATCTCTTTGTCTAAAATATTTGTAAAATAGTCTATTCAAAGACTAATCAAAACTGAGGGTGTGGTGGCGCCCGCCCTATGGCACAGACTAATCAAAAATGATAAAAGAAATAAGTTAGTCAGGACATAGACTACATTTCAAAGACTTTCATAGTTTTTTCTTACAATAGAGTTAAATCAAAATAAGCTGTAGTCCTTCTATTCAAGGGTAACCTATAAATATATACTTTTATACCATGTTTTTAAATGTCATATTGGAATTGCCTCCTATCCCTAGCAAAATGTACTTAACTAAAATTAAAATTTTAAAATGAACTCTTCTCATATTGAGTACAGATTTTTTCCCTTTTTTCCTAGAAAACCTCTGGCCTCTGTCTTCTCATTTTTCTTCTCTTCTCTTCTCTTCTCTTCTCTTCTCTTCTCTTCTCTTCTCTTCTCTCTTCTCTTCTCTTCTCTTCTCTCTCTTCTTCTCTCTCTTCTCTTCTCTCTCTTTTCTTCTCTCTTTTTTCTTTTCTTTTTTTCTTTCAGCTCCTCCTGCCTCAGCCTCCCAGCTGGAACTATCATGCCTGGCTCTTTTTTTCAAACAGGGTCCCACTACATTGCCTAGGCCAGCCTAAAGCTTGTCCTCCTGCCTCTGCCTCCCCTATTCACTGGAATTATAGGTAAACACCACTGCATACAGCCCTTCAGGTTGAACTGGTAATCAAACCTAGACCTCCCATGTGACCCAAGCCTGAAGAATATAGTATACTGAATCAACATATATGACTTTTTTTGGGGGTGGGTGGGTGGGGAGTATAGGATGCATGCACTCATCAGAGAAACAGAGAGACGGAAAGTGAGAAAGCACCCCCCCCCCGACTCTCCAGGGAGATGACCATGCCACAATCCCTTCTCCTCCAATCTCCTCTTGACATTTTGAGCACACATGCACACGCTCCTGGCATGTTTTTCAAGCCACCAGGTCTGGGACTCTGTGCAGTCAGTCATGTGAGATCCAGCTGCTCGATCCACCACACCAACGGCCAGTCTGACTTTTATTTATTTATTTTTAAAAGGAGTATTTAATTTCATTTATTATTATTTTTATTAGCTATAGGGCACATGTGCTCACTAGAAAGAGACAGAGACAGAGTGAGGAAAAGTGAGAAAGCAAGCCACCAGGTATGGGAGTCTAGCATCCCCACCACGGCACCACCTGCTGATCCCCTGACTTTTATATTTCAATGATAATGCATGGATGAGAGGGAGAGAGAAAGGGAGAGAGAGAAGCTCCTTGACATGATTTCATCAGGCTGCAATCTGCTCTCCCAGACTGTCAGCTCCTCAGCATCCTGGGCACCCAGCAAGTTTTCAAGCTGACCCAGGGATCCAAACCCTTGGTTTAGATGGGCCCCGGCCTTGCCCATCTGTGAGTGAAGGAAGACTATAAAAGCCACACCCTGCCCCACAGCTCCCTCCTTCAGACCTTCCTGTGGATGCTGTCACCTGTGGGGAAGGACTGATCACAGGGGTCATGTGGTCAGTAATCAGTATTTAGTCTAAAACTCTGTTATTTTAGCTTATTATATAAAAAAAGTATATTCATGATATAAGTTTATGCTCAGTAAGTGAATACAGAGAAGCTGCTACAGTAGTTGGGCAATAATTTTTAAGACTCGATATATTTTGCCATATACTATAGGAATACTTTAAAGCTCACAGCTAGGCTGGAGGGTGGGAAGAAGGAAAAATCTTTCTAGGCTTCTTGCATATTCCAGGAATTACTCCCATAAGGTTTGTGGGATTATAATATATGTCCATATTCCAGGAATTACTCCCATAAGGTTTGTAGGATTATAATATATGTTTCCAGTCTTATAGCTACCTACCGTCTACCACCTTCTCTTCTTTTACTTTTGGACTTCAAGCAAAAACTTTCTTGGGGGCAGTTTTTTCCCCTAAGAAAAAAGTGTAGGTTGGCATAGCAAGTCATAAAAATATCAGGGTCAAACCAAATCTAACAGCCAGCTCTGTGACCTAATGGCTAAGCGATCCAGGTTCCACATGGCCAACTGCAGTTGAAATCCCAGTTCTAGTGGCTTGAAAAACATTGGGTGTGTGCGCATGTGCCCCAAATCCCAACAATATGAAGAAATGGAGAAGGGATGGCAGCGTGACCGCTCCCCACTGTGGGTGCTTTCTCCCTTTGTCCTTCTGTCTCTTTGGCGAGTGCATATGTCCTCTAGAAAATGAAAATAAAAATACAAATATAAGACAAGAGGTTTTTCTGCACTGACTGCTTCATCTGTATTATTGGGTTGTTGGAAAAGTAATGACATATTTTTTCTATGTTATTCTCTACAAAAATGCATCATGCCAGCAATTCAATAGATTAGAAATTCTTTGAGGAAACTTTTAGGACACAACTCACACCCAACTTTCTCCATAGGATTTTTTATGTTGACATATATTTTCTGATCTGTTTTGTCAGCCTTGACTTGTTCTGTAAACCATATGCATTCATCCATGAGACCTTTCTCATTCAATTATTCAACACAATTTATTTTATTTATTTTTTGAGGGAGACATTTTTGTTATAAGAGCACATGCACTCTCTGGAGAGAGAGAGAGAAATCATACACCATTCTCCTCTGTTCTTTTCTCAGGATTTTGGGCACACATGCACATGCACTTGGCATGAGTTTCAAGCCGCCAGTTCCAGGACTCAAACCATTGTCAGCCATGTGGGAGTCCCGTGCCTTAACCACTACACCACCTGCTGGTCCTGACAAATTTATTATTTGCCTACTAAGTGCCAAGCATGGTGGTGTACTAGGCCTGAAGTAAGTGGTGAGCAAAAAGACTTATTTTTGTGCTGGAGTTACAGAAAGTATGGTTACCATATAAGATATAAAATAAAACCGTATCTGTAGAATGAACATCGTCCTAATGTCAGGCCACTTATTGTTTTGTCTTATTGATAGGTGAACTCTTCTCAACCAAGTAAGATGCTCCGGTGCTGAGGACCTACTAGGCGCCCAGTAGGGACAGCTCAATGGAAACATTAGCACCTCACCTCTGCACAGACCCTGCATTCCTTCTAATTCTTCAACTACTTAAGAATCTACAGAGGAGTAAGTAACAAGTGACTGAGAGACACAAAATAACTTGTTAGTGATCTTTTTACATTTTATATTACCACCAATAGGTGGCACCATTCATTATTTTATTTTATGTTGTTAGGTGCCCTAAATTGTGTTTATGGTGTTTGTTCAATAGATGTTTATTGAGCTCCTGCTATTTGGAAACTGCTCAGCTGGCCGTCACTAACAGAGTAAAAAATCAAGTACTACAGATATGCTTTATCATACTTCCCTTTCCTGGGATACCCTACATGGTACATATTTCCCCTTTCTGATTTCATCTCTATTTTTTTAAACATTTTATTATTTTTAATTATTTATTTAACTTTATTTATTCATTCATTTATTTTTATTTTGACCAGAGAGACACACAGAGAGAGAGAGAGAGAAGGTGAGAAAGCAAGCCACCAGGTCCAGGATTTGAACTGTGGTCAGCCATGTGGGAGCATCCAGCACCTTAACCACCACGCCACCCGCTGGTCCCATCATCTCTATTTTTTTAAAAATAGCATCCAAATCTTGTATTACAACTCAGAAATGTCTCTTTTTTCCTTTCCATTTATTTATTTTTACATTTTTCCACAAACATTTACTTTACATATCAAAAAATTTTTGCTCATACTCCATAGTTCTTGACAGTTAATAAACAACTTTCACAATTTCAGAATACTGAATTTTAAAGATATTGTTCAAAATAGTTCTTATCATTTTGTTTGTGACTCTATAACAACAGAGACAGCATGGTTTTAAATATTTTTAGAAAATATTTACATGTCAACTACTCAAATCGTTGAAAAGCAAATGCTCAGCACACAAGTCACACATAAACCTTCTCAATTCAGCCCACCTACCAACTATTCTGTGATATACCATCTGCTAGCAAAGATCAGTCTCTTCTTTCTTCAAAGTCTTTCCCAATATAATCCTCTGGTGTAGCTGCTCTTTTGCAATCTCTACTGATTACAATGCTGGGCTGGAAAAATTCAGGTTATTTTATGTTATAAATTCTTTCATATATCTTCTCTAAGTCTCTCTGCCAGGCAGAACTATTTATGGTGACAGGCCATCTTTCTAAGAGTTTCTGTTGACTTATTTGAGTTCCACCTTAGTTCTATAGTTTTCTGATTACTCTTCAGGTATAACATTCCCTGTCTGATAATGAGTATTTCCAGTTTCTGATTCAATGCAACAAGCATTATTGAACTTGTGCAAATAACCTTTCTGCCACAAAATAAGAATACTCCCAAATATTTCCAATTCAACAGGGGTTAGGAAAGAAGAAAAGTTTATGTTTCCATTTAAAGAAACAAACAAGAAAAATATGTTAACAAATTGCTGAACCTATCAACAACTCAAAAGAAAGTAAAATGTTTAAATTGGGAAAACAAAGCATAGTAAAAAAAAAAGAAAGAAATCAGGAATATTTTACTCAAAAGTCATAAAATTCTATTTTGCTAGTTCATTCCTATGTTCAAACTCTCTTCTGTTGAACATGCAGTGGTTACTGTGGTCTGAACTTTCCGTTTAAATCTGAAAGTTAACATTCAACATTATTATTGATATTTTTTTGTCCCTATCATTAAATTAGTCATTTTCTTGGTTGCTTTTTGTTCTCTTATTTCTGTGTGTCTTTAGTTTTCCTGCTAGAGCACTCCTTTCAGAACTTCTTGAATAGTGGATCTGCTATTGGCAAATTCTTTCAGGTCTTTGTTTATCTGAGAATGATTTTATCCTTTCTTTCCATATGAAAGATAATCTTGCCGGGTATAGTATTCTTGGTTGAAACTGTTTTTCACTTAACACTTGGAATATATTTTCCCATTCTTTCCTTGCTCACATTATTTCTGATGAGAGACCTGAGGTTAACCTGATAGGATAGCCTTTATAAGTAACCTGACGTTTCTCTCCTGCCAATTTTAATATCTTGTCTTTGTCTGTAGATTTGGACAGTCTGGCTATGATGTGTCTTGGAGAAGATCTTCTTGGGTTGATTCTATTAGAGGCCCTTTGTATTTCCTGGGTTTGGATATCTGAATGCCTCTCTACATTTGGAAAGTTTTCTTCCAAGATTTTATGGAATAGATTATCAATGCTATTATTAGTTTCCTCACCTTCTGGGATACCAATTATCCAGATGTGTGGGTGCTTAATGCTGTCTAGTATTTCTTGTATAGTATTCTCATTTTGGGGGGTTATCTTCACAGCTTTTTTTTTTTTTTGGTTGTTTTTTCTAGATCAGAGGTTTTTGCCTTACACATCCGAGATTCGATTTTCTGCATGGACTAATTTGCTTTTAATACTTTGGAGAAAGGTTTTGTTTTCCTAAATGGCAGCCTTCATCTCTAATAGCTCCGTTTGATTCTTTTTTAAGATATGTATTTCCTCTTTTAGATCATGGAAGAACTTCAACACCTCCTGGAACCCGTTGTCTCTTTTTCCTGCATCTTCTGGAGTTCATTATCTCTCAGCTCTTGCATCGTGTTTAGTTTTGTCACTATGAATGTTCTGAATTCTTTATCAGACATTTCCATGAGTTCTACTGTACTGTCTATGGATGATTAGAGATTGTTCATTTCCCTTAGGGGAGAGATATTTTCTTGATTTCTCATGTTCCTTGTGCCTCTGAGGTTGTTTTTGACCATTCTGTGACAAAACCTATTCTCCACTGTGCTTTGCAATGTGCTTGTCTGAATATTTTGGGAGCCCAGGAGATGGAACTTAGAGCATAACTTCCCTGAACACACCAGGACACACCTCAGCTTTAAAATGGCTTCTTGTCTGAATATTTTGGGAGCCTAGGAGATGGAGTTTAGAGCATAGCTTCTCTAAGCACGCCAGGACATACCTCTCAAAAAATATTGAGTTATAACTCAAAAGCATGTTTTAAAATTTTGCCTGTATATGTTTGGAATACAAACATATATAGGCAAAAGGGGAAGAAGGATACAAAGTTAAATAAAAAGCAAATCAGAAAAAAATCTGGATTTTGAGGGGAGCGGGATCTATCAGCAGAGTTTAATACAAGTTGACTTTCTAATTAACACAATTTATCACTTTTCAATGAAGGAAACTTTCTTTCCTTCTGGAAGGTAACAGAGATGTGATCCAGGCAGAACAGAATTTCAACAGCCTCCAAGGCTGCACAGCTCCATCTGGAAACAATAAAGATTTCATTCTTCTAAGTTTGTTTCAGGAGTGTGTCTCGGAGATGACCTAAGGTTGCATACTGTAGAGCACTTACCTACTGAAGAGGTTTCCACTTGAATGAAATTTAGAAAGTCTCTAAGGCCCCAGCAGAACTCCTCTGAAGTCTCCTTTCAGTAGAAGGCCTCTCTTCTCTTCCTAATAACAACGCCTTCTCCACTGGCTGAAAGCAGTAAAGTGGTTATAATAAAGAATAATGGAGGGAGAGCAGTGGGGAAATGGAACTGAAGTATGTGTATCAACCATGTAATAGTCACTAGTTTACTCACATACTGATCAGAGAAAAGGGACCTTTGACCATGTCAGACGTGGTACTCTGAGGCAATCCCATATGGGAACGTTCCTGGTTCAAATATGGAGACCTCCCTGAATATGGTAGGCAAGTGTCTGCCCTTGATCTGGGACTAGCTGAGGCTTGTGATAGATTGCAGCATCAGGACCCTGTTGCAGGTACTCTTTCTCTCTCTCTCTCTCTTGCTCTCTCGCTCTCTTGCTCTCAACTCTCTTAGAAGAGATCATTGAATAAAAAAGTTTTAAAGATACACATTAAGTACAGTGGTTGTTTCTGGAGAAAGGAAAAAGAATGGGAGGAGGCCCAAATAAATTAGATAGATAGATAGATAGATAGATAGATAGATAGATAGACAGACAGAACAGAACAAGAAAGGGGCCTTAAAGAAATTGATGAGGATAGGGTACCATGGACTGAGGAGTGTGATTAATTCAACCTCTTGCATTTGAAGCTTAAAAAACAGAAAATAAAAAAAAAAGAATGTCTGGTTAAAATTCCAAATCCAGAGACCAGCAGTTAGCGTAATGGCTCTGTCGCTGGATTCCCACGTCATCGACTGCGGTTCAAGTCCCGGACCCAGTGGCTTAAACTCATGCCAGGCACGTGTGCGTGCGCGCCCAAGATTTCAAAAGGAGAATGGAGGAGAAAGGACTGCGGCGTGGCCATCCCCCCTGGGGGGTGATTTCTTGCTTTCTATCTCTCTGTCTGTCTCTGTCTGTCTGGCGAGCGCATGCACCCTATAGCAAAAACCTCTTCAAAAATAAAAATTCCAAATCCACTACTCAGTAACATTTTGTAAGTTAGCTAACCTCTCTCAGCTTATCAACTGTAAAGTTAAGCTAATTTTGGGACTTTCTACATGGGATTGTTGTGAGAATGAATTGAGTCTGAATGTATAGATTGTGTAGAAGACTACCAGGCAGGGGCCGGCAGGTGGCATGGTGGTTAGGGGCTCTGGACTCCCACATGGTCAATCGTAGTTTGAGTCCCAGACCTTGCAGCTTACCTTATCACTTTCCTTCTATCTCTTGCTTTGGCCCTCTCTGGTCAAATTAAAATAAATAAATAAAGATAAATAAAATAATTCTTTTTTAAAAAAAAAAAAAAGAAGAGCACTAGGTACATAGTAAGAATAAAGCAGAGTAATCCACACAAAATGCTTAGTGCAGTGCCTGGCCCATAGTGTCCAATACATAGTTAACTGGCTGTGGACCATAGTCATCACCAACGTGATTATCATCGTTTCCTCACATGGCAAACTCCATTCCTTTAGTCACTTATAGAGAGATGTCTGGAGACAGATTTGTGTAATGGAAAGACAGTGTTTCGTCTACCCTAATTCTCCCTTCATCGTTTCCTTTTGAGTGGTCTTAGGGAAGTGACTTTTTTCTTTTACTTTTTTTTGAGAGGTTTTTTTTTTTTTTTTTTTTTTGTTTTTTGTTTTTTTTTTTTTTTTTTTAAGAGACACTTAAAAATCCCCAGAAAGACAGAGAGA